ATATTTTTTCTTATATTGTTGTTATTTTCAGACAGGGCCTTACCATGTAACTCTGGCTGGCCTGGAACTATGCAGACCAGGGAGGCCTCGAACATCTGCCCCTGCCTCCCAACTGGGATTAAAGGCATGTGCCACCATGCCTGGCATTCACAATGTTTTCGCCAAAGTAACTAAAAACAAAATGTTATCCTGGGCTAATAGATTTACCAAGTGGTCAATACTGTGTAACACACACACACCAAAAGATCACAGGTTATCTGTTAAGCAAATGTAGTAATTTTTTTAAATTGTTAAACAATATTTGAGTGTTTTGTAATGTGTTTTTTTATTGAAGTACAGGATGCTTCCACCATCAGTTCCCAGGAATACTGACTCTTTACTGAAAGACCACTAAAGACAGCCCTATGCGGGCAGTGTACATGTGGCTGCACTCTCTGCTCCCAGGTGAGAAGAAAGAAGGCATCACCAACACCCTAACCTGACCCACAGCCCAGGTCCTTCCACCTCTCCACTACTAGTGTGTCACACCAAATTTTAAAGCCCTCAAAGAAGGTTCTTTATTCTAAAACAATTTGCTAATACTGTTATCTAAAATGAGGAAAACAACATTCAAAACCAAAATCAGCAATTTATCTTCCCCTCCCTTTGTAGCAAAATGAGTATCAAAGCAAGCTCTAAGTTTAGCAAGTACTGAAAAGTTCCATTCCTTTTCACAAGCCAATAAATAGAACCAGAAAAGCATCTGAGCATGGTCATTAATATTAATCCATTGCAGTTTCAAAAACAGTTTGCTTCCTAAGTATTTTAATATGCCAGGCTATGACGTGTTTGTGTGAAATTACATCATACAAATCATTAGAGAGACCACAGAGCACACCATGTTGTACAAATGGTAAAGAATTTTAATTAAATGTTTTATACTTTCTAGATTAGTCAAACAGTAACAAAGCAGAATGTGGCTATAAGGAGGGGAGGGGAACTCAGTGGGTACAGAGTTTCAGTTTTGCAATGAAAGAGTTATTTATATAGGTTGGTTGCACAACAATGTGAATATACCCAACATCAGCAAACTGTACAGTTAAAAATGCTTAAGATGATAAATATTGCCAAGAGCATTTTATCATAACTAAAAATAAACAAAACCTGAAAAAGGAACCAGTGAGTTTTTAGTGTGATGATACCATGATGGGGGTTAAAATCAAAACAGACACACGAACTAACGAGCTGATATTTATAGGTTGGTGGATAGATGGCTGTTATTGTATGCTGGACTCTGAAGCTTTCCTCAATGAAACAAACAGAAGAACTTTCTTTAAAGAGAAAATAAAGGTATGAAATTTCCTAGTTAACAGGGAATCAGCTGTCATAAAACTATCTGATGAGAGCATAAAATGTCCCATCTCTGTAGCTACAATGGAGAGATGCAGCTCTTCACATCACCGTTCTGCATGGGAGAAAGTTGCTGAAAGCTAGATTACCCTATAGGGCTCCCAGTAGAAAACTGTATGCAGAAAATTACATGAACAGTCTAAATTTACTATGAAAACAATATATTTTATTTAAGTAATTAAAATTTTTTCTTTAAAGGCAATAAAAGTGAATTCCACGAGCTTTGTTTGCAACTAATCTTTACGTCTAGTCTGGAAAGCAGCCCCACTGGCCTTCCATGGAGTCTGTCCCACTCTGGGCACATCAGCTGAGCCACTTCCAACTAGGTCATTCCAGTTCTAAAAAATCTGTCTTTTCTGCTCTTTCAAATCACCAGAGACACAACATACAAGACCCTGCTGAAGTCAGAAGAATGAAACACCAATACACTAGGCACAGTTACATGAGAAAGGGAGTGAGTGAGGACATTTTATCTACAAAACTATACAAATGACCAGTTATACATATAATCCATTTACACTGGAGCTCCATGAGGTGGTACTGAATGAAGAGAGGCATTGAAATTTAACAATGGAACAAGGCTCACTTGCAACAGCAGCACATTCCCACCTCTTGTCTCTCATTACACTTCTCTGGGATTTATATTCATGTATTAGCTAAATCTTAGGAAGATGATAAGAAAAACAAGAAAAAGCCAAAAGGATAATAAATACTCCCTAAAATCTACATGCATGTATTTGAAATGTGAAAACACCAAACATTTTGTTAATGTGAGTTTTTAATCACAAGACCCTTTAAACTTACACTGTCTTCACAAATATCTGCACTGAATTCTTTGTAGTTAAGCTGTCCACTAAAAAATCAGAAGAGGGCAATAATAAACAAAAAGCTTATTTTTCAAAATATAGTTTTAGAAAAGTGGTACTGTTTATTTGTAAAAACAACTTTCTCTACTAAAGAAATCACACTGTTGTGGCCATCAGAACAGGCTAGGCCACATTGGCAACAGAGGTTTATCTGCCCTCATTTTTAACCATCATAAACTATTATCATAGTCATGTAATTTTTCAGAACTTATACCACCATCATGGCAAAGTATATAGGATATTTCTAATAAGCCTAAATTTGATCATAAACAAAATTTCTTTAAAGTATTTTCAAGTACTCAAGAATATTAGAGACCAGGGAAAATACATAGGTCAATGGAAGCATTCCCTCCAACACTCTTTAATTGGAACAGAATTCTCAGGTGAAGCCCACAGGAATGGTCTGCAATAAAGAAAATTAGGTCAGCATAGAACAATTTCTACAAAATTTAGCAAAAGAAGCCAAAAATATTGTGAGCCAAATAAAAGGATCCTTTGGGATCGAGGCTTTCTGTCTCCTCTAGTTCTTTAATCTCCAACTCACTACAGCCAGAAACCCCAACATGCTGACTCACAGCTATACGGAAATACAAGGCCAAGGAAAACCACCAACACAATCCTTTTCAGTCACAGGTCTCACTATCAAGAAACCAGCCAACATGTTACTTTCTACCTGTGTGCAGAAATATGTCAAACAGCATCGTCTTGGTAAGGGACTCCTGTGTTAGGTCCTTTGTAAGGATGGACAACCAGAGGATTTCCTCACGCGTACAACTTAGTAGAAGACAACAGCTTGGAGTCACACAGCTGGAACCATCTTTCCTGTAATTCTCAGATCATTTAGGAACACTTAAGTCAACTCACAGAAATTATGCTATGTGTTCTTTAGATAGGAAAACTAAGCTATTAGAAAAAATATGCAGAACAGCTTCCTTCTTGTAAGAATCACACCAGTTCCTAACCCCATGACACTTACAGGGAACATGTTTTTGAACAGGATCTCACTCTATTGCCCAAGCTGGTCTCAACTCCCTAGTTTACAGTCATCACATCTCTATGCTGGGATTAACAGGTGTGTGCCACCTGAATCCATTGTGAATTTTAACAGCTTATTCTAGATGTTTCCTCATAAAGTAAAATTGGAAATAACCTAGTTAATGCTATTTACAATTCAAAAAAACCAAAATTCAACACAACCTAATAATATATACATTAGAAAACTCCAGAAAATATTCTATCGGGTCTAAGTAATTTCCCACCTACCCAGAAGGAAGCCAAATCTATCTGTTGCAAGATTTAACTATAATAGTTACATATGGATCCACCGCAGTAGAAAACACCACAAATAAACACCCTAAACCAAGCTAAGGTTTTTGTACTTGAGAGAAAAGTAACTATCCCTCATGACTTGACTGAAAAAAAAAAAAAAAAAAAGAAAGAAAGAAAGAAAATCACTTTCTGACCAATTATTTCTTGGCCTATCTAAAGACCCAAAGAATGAAGAATGCCACAACTACCAGCAATTCAACACTATCTTCCTGAAAAGAAAGATGATATAAAATGCCACTCTCCCAGACAATGAACACCAAAGAAAAACGTGTTCCTTTTGTAACAGCTGTATTTATCAGCACCAAATGTTCACATAAATTATTCTAAGCAACTTTAAGGAACTAATATTTCCTAATAAAGCAGGTAAACAAAGGACTGAACAATGTTTTCATGCTAAGAACCACTATGTCAGACAATATGACTGGCTCATTTCTACAGCTGCTGTAGATGTGCTGGGTAAGCAAAACATGCCTTACTGTACAGCTGACAGGACTACCCCCCAAATCACGGGTCAGGCGCCTTATTTTGTGATTAGGCAAGATTAAGTAAACAAGGTGAAAGGATTTTAAAAAGTAAGTTAAGTCCAAACAATCCATTATTAGAGAGAAACATAACTAACTACATAAAGTACCTAACTGAAAAATTGAAAGCAAGATTGACAAACAACAGTGTTAGTCCAAGTCTATGTAACCCTTTATTACATTATATTCACGGCAGTGTTTTGATCAACATTCACAAGTTTTCCTATTTCTCCCTCAGACTACAGCAAGTTCTTTCCTGTTTATAACATAATTTAACTCTGCAAATGGTTTAAGTCAACTTTTTGCACCTTGAATTTACAAACCACTGGGTGTTTAAATTGCCTGGAAACCATTTAATTTTCAATTTTTATTTAAAGCTGTACTTCAAACCAAATCCTTCAAAATAGAAAAGCTGTTTCAAACAAATTTGTACAAATATCATGATACCAGTGTTTTAAAGATAACCTACAATTATAAAAAGGCAACTATTATACAAAAGAATTCTATGGCAAATCTTTTTTATAAAATCTTTTATAAATAAACTTGTTTCATGATAGAAGATAAAAATTAAATTTACCCTAAACTATGTAATTGCTCAGAAGATGGGTTGAGTGCTTTGAAATCATGTTGCTTCTTTGAAAACGAACTTTTAACTGGGCATTACACTAACAAATACCACATCATACCCACTCACTTAAGCCTTCTGATCTCTGGGTATGGACGTCTTCTTACCGGTCCCTTACTTTTGGTAGTCATCTGAGTAACTATAAAACACTAGCTGCGTGAACACTGGAGCTCGTAAAGTGCACTCGGTATAAAACAGCAGTAGTGTCAAATTCACTTAGTAGGTCTTTAAGGGACTTGGTGTCACCAACTGGGCAAAAAAACAACATTATAGTTTTCTGTTCAGATTTTATTTGAAATCTAATTCAAATTGTCAAAGCTACAAAAGAGGGGAAGACATCTGTATTATGTGTCTAAGTCACAACATCCTAAAACAAAATACTACTACTGCCAGCAGATCCATTGTACACATTTCTGATGAAATTCATTAGCACAATAAAAATTTCATCTTGAGAAACAGCCACAACAAAAGTAATTTATACAATATAAAACAATGACAGGTCTACAGATGCAGTTACTCATGAGTTTACACATGCATTCACAAACAAACAAACAAACAAAAACCCCAGGAATGCTCTTTCATTAGAATTATGTTTGTGTGTGTGTGTTTTTATTTAAAAAAAAAAACAAAAAACAAAAACAAACAAACAAACAAAAAAAAACCAAACAGACCATTCAGGCACAAAACAAACTTGCATTTCCAATAAGTGACAGCATCTTAAAAATATATGTCAATGTTTGTTTTTCTTTGACTTTTTATGAGACCTGTGTGGAGACCGGGACTGGGATCTGGATTTCTTCCCTGATTTCTTAGGCGACCTAGACCTAGACCGCCTAGACCTTTTAGGCGTCCTTGAACCAGAAGGCGACCTGAAGAAACAAACAAGCACAGTGTCTGAGCTCTCATCTACAACACTGCTTACGTTCTTACAAGGCTTAAAAGGAGCTTCAAGTGGGCCCAGAAGTCAATGATAAAACAGCAAACTCAAATTGATTCTTTATTGTATGCACACACAGATTTATTCTATACTTACCATTCATGTACGATTAGTCGAGTATTTGTTTAAAAAGACAGATTTCTGAGCCTTACTGCTGCTCTACTGAGAATGTGCATTTTAATAAGCTCCCCAGGTACCTGAACTAATACTCCAAAATTGAATCCGTAAGATCAAGGTCAAGGTGGCAACTAAGACACTCACACACTTGTAAAAGCACAGAAGCTGTGCACTCTGTGATTCTGAGGGGGGGGACTCCTACTCAAGGCCATCACTGAAAACAACATAATTGGATGTTTTTGAGACAGGGTCTCACTATGTAGCCCAAGCTGGCCTCTGCCTCCCAGGTAGTGGGATTAATGGCATCTACCACCACATCTGGCCCCAGTAATTTGGCTAAATTCTGTTCATGATGATTTCCCAAACAAATACAATACATATACACCTACATATACACAAGAGTATGTGTGATCTTAACAGGAGAAAGCCACCTATTATATAAAGACATCACAGAAAATGGTTATGATAATACAGTATTAGCATATAAATCCAGGTGCAGTTCAAGAAAATTTCTCTCTATTAACATCAAATACATTCATGAACTACTTTTGTGAAATTAAAAGGCTTAAATAAAACAAAATATAAAAGTATATATTGAAGAGATGATCTAAATAGCATTCTATTTCCTTACCCACACACTTACTTCTGTGGGGAAGGGGTATTCCTTTTCTTCAGCTTTGACAAAATCTAAGGCTATTTATTATATAGAAACAAAAATCAGAATGAAAAGTAACACCCTATTTCCAACAGTGGACATGTGGAAAAATCCTTGGCTAATCTTTAACTTGCTAGAATTCTTCTATACTTGAATCATGACAAAAACCAGAGTAGGAACGAGAGAGATAACCCAAAATAAAAGTTTATTTCTCTGGTTTTCTGAAATCTTAAAAAAAAAATAATTAAAAAAAAAAAAAAAGAAAGAAAAGAGAAAAAAGAAAATGCCAACCCCATGATTTCCGAAGCCCATAGAATAGTTAGCCGGGGACTGAGCTGTAACCAGCAGTGACTTGTATTTACCTTTTGGCTTTCTTACTAGCATCTCTAGGAGAATCCTTGTGAGATGACCTGGACCGTGAGCTTTCTTTATGAGATCTTTCTGACCGTTCTGAACGTTCTGATTTTGGTGATGGGGATTTCACTCGCCTACCACTGCTACTTCGAGATGGGCTGGGAGAAGTACTGTGTCGTCTTTTCCTACAAAGCAAAGCACATAAAACTCCATAAGGGACAAAAAAAAGGACAAGTATTCTTTTTCAATTTTCACTGACCTAGCTACAAATCCCTTCCAGCTTACAGTAACTTAACTCTCACTATCCATAACAGTGCTATTTTCCCGAAGACATTCAATGTCCTTTATTTCATGAACAAGTAAATCTTAAGACAGTGTGCCCAAAAAACAAGTGAATTCAATTAAATTCAATTTTCTTTTGCTGTAAGAGATTACTAGGAAGATGAAGAAAATCTGATGTTCTGGACTGACTAACAATGAAGGTTTATTTTTTCAATGCTAACTTCTTAATGTGGTACTTTTACTGAAGTTAAATGATTACTATTCAGAGAACTGGACTCTGTACTGGCCAATTATAACGAACTGGTTGGAGGAGAGGTACAAAGGGAAGAATTGAAAAGAGAAGTAGACGCATTTTAGTAGGTAGAGCAATTGGGTGAAAGGTACATGCGGGTTATTTATACTATTCTTATAACTTCTGTAAAACTGAAATTACATAAAAGTAATAAAAGACAAGAAAAGTGGCATTTATCTGTTCTTTGTTAGCCAATCTGTATAATTTTGCTTTTTAGAAGTATACACAGAGTGATTAAGCCAGGTTACTCATTTGCAACCACTTGGTTTTTTCTAATGTGGAAAACTCTGATTCTGTTGACTGAAGCGACTGCTTCACTACAGTAGACATTTAAAAACTATGACAGGAGAAACACAGTCCAGTGAGGCGGTTCAGCAAGTCAGAACACTTAACCTGAGTTTGATCCTGTAGAGAGAACCAAGCCCCACAGTTTTCTTCTGACGTCCACAAGAGCACAATGGCAGTATATCTATCCCCCCACAAAATACACACACACACACAATCGGAACCAAGTTAAAAAAATATAAATTAAATAAAAACTGAAAGAGAAAAGCTGGAACCAAGGACTTAACATGATGAAGAAGTCACTGTGGCTTCTATATATAATCTCCTTTCAAGATGGAAAAAGATGCTTACAGTGGAGTCAACAGGTGGATAGAACAAGCTGTTATTCAAGCCAAGGGGCTGATACCCAATAGTGTAATTGAATTCCTGCAGTGAATTAAGGCTAAGGATACCATATGAACCAAGTAAAGAGATGATGCCCTAATTAGTTAAGCCAAGTGGCAACTCTGTCCCACTCAGCTAACTCTGCCTCCTACAGGCAGAAGCGAAACATGTTTATTGTGAAAAAACACTTCTGGTTTGTTGCTTCTGATGATAGAAATACTTTAAAACCAGCAGCACTCCAAATCTTGAAACAAAGCAGATTAACAATGACATGCCATACCTTTCTTTTCTTGTTGGAGTACATTCATCTTTCTCCTTCTTGTCTTTGGATCGGGATTCCAATTTTTCTTTATCTTTTTTGTCTCTTTCTCGTTCTCTTTCTAATTCTTTCTCCTTCTCCTGTTTTGTTTTTTAAAAGAAAATATTTAGTTGTTTTAAAAAATGTCAATCTAGACTATCCTATGTATCTAACCATATTTTCTATTTTAGGAGTTTTTCAAGTACTAATTAAAGTATGATATCATTTTCATTTTGGCAACTAGCCATCTCTTATATACTAAATCATCATCATCATCATCATCATCCTTGTACAGCAGCAAAATATTTACTGAGTACTCATCATAGCCCAAACAACAGAGTAACAATTTTCCACACACCAAGTCATCCTGTGATCCTTTAAAACACCATCACTCCTCAATCTAGATATAGAAAACCAGACTCAAAAAGTCTAGGCACAATGATGACGGTCACACCAGAGAAAGCCAGGACATCAGTCTAAGAGCTCCTATCCCTCCATCCCTGCCACCTCAAAATGGGGGGAGGGAGGGGTGGGGAAGGAGGGAAGAAATGAATCAGGAAAAGCTAACAAGCAACACAATGACCTTTCCATCACAGATTGCAAAAATCTAGTTGTCAAAGCGATTCTGCCTGTATACAGAAGGTTCACTTCATAAAGAGTTCTCACCAAAGATTTATTGTAATTGTAAAAGGAAATGTAATCCTAACTTATAAACTGATTATATACTAATACAATTATATAAACCAGAAAAATAACTGCTCGTTTATCCCTATTTGTCCTTACTGTCATTTCTCAATAAAACTCTAATTTCTATTAATAGTAGAATAATTGAAGTAGTGGCTAAAGATACTGAACCAACTTAGTCCTTTAATAACAGAAATGGAATTTATTTATGATTGGCATGCATCAAAAATGTTATCTAACTTCTGCTTCTCATTTTTAAAAAGTGAGAAAATCTTATAACTGGACACTGGCAAATGTTTTTACAGAGCCAGACCAAAAACACTTTGTCTTGGGGGTTTTATACAATCCTTTTAACAGCTGCTTAACTGCACCGTCACAACAAGAAAACCACACAGACAATACCTAGGTGAAGAGGCACAGCTGTGTTCTAGTAAACTTTATTTACAAACAAAGATCACAGTTAGCTGACCTTCAGCATATGCCTTCTAAAAACACAATCTTGTCTCCAATTAACACTCATGGAATACAGGAAACTAAACTAGTAACTGACACAGTTTTTCGTTTGTTGCCACTGAGATGCAGGGAGCCTTTCAACATGTAATCTTCCATGCAAACTAATAACCTGATACCATCAACAAAGGGACTCAAAGCGTACAAACAAACAACTAGTACCATTTTAAAAATAACCTCATTTATCTTTTGCCCAAATACATCACAGAATATAAATCTAAAGAGGTACAAGAGAGACCAACTTCTCTTAATGATGCACAGTATATACTTTCTGGAATGATGATAAAAAATTAATTCTTGATTGTCTACACATTGTAGAGACTATACTACAATTAATCTATTTTAAACATTCTGACTTAACACCAGAGTAACAATGATAGCAATTCTAACTATGATCTATCAGAGAGAACTCCAGTGGCGCACAGCTGAGAAGAGCACAGGATTCCACAGGTCAGCACAGCTATACAGTCACTTGACCGGGCAGCTCCCTGGCACCAATTCTGTATCCGTAAGCTCTCAGGCACGCCTTTTTCTTCTATTGCTATCACTGTAATGACGGCCAAGGTACAAGATAAAACAGCAATTCCAACGGAAGGCCTGGGCATTCCAACAGTCACCATATGGGGTACGAGCTCTGGTGCTCTATGAGCTCCTAATTCATTGTACCTAAGCAGCACCCCCTGATGCACAGGTATTCCCCTCTTAGCACACCTTCTTGGACATGAACTTTCCAGCAGCAGCAGCACTTCCCAAACCTCATCTCCCTCTTCATTCACGTTACTTCCTAGCATTACCGGTTTCTTACTACCATCAATGTAATGTCTTCTCATAGGGTTTTCCAGTTCTGAAAGCATATTCTTAGCAAGACTGTCTAGTCCACGGGTAGTACCCAGAATCAAATATTTCCACTCATCATTCAATATTTCTACATTAAAGGCTACCATGTGCAATGCACTTCCCTTTAGAATGCTATTACCCCAAGTCCACAGTAGGTGACTGTGGGAATGCTGTTACTGAAGAACATATTCGAATCTTACTCGCTGTAGCAGTTTATCTCTGTAGTGCTCCACTTGTTCCTGGAAGCTTTGGCCTGGTTTTTTAGGTCTCTTTCCAGATTCCAATTCATCTTGAAACTTCATAACTTTGAGCTGTGAAATAGGACATTTTTAATAAGAATTTTCTATCACAATTTCTCAAGCATTGCTTTTCTCCTACAACAAAGCAGTGACTGGTTAGGACTGGGTTAGGATCAAAATACAACCTCAACAGAAAGTCTGCCAGACAAGCCCACCCACCACACAAAATCCAGGCCATCAAACACCAACACACATCCTCAGGCAGGCGAGGACTAAAACCATAGACTGTTTCACATCCTTAAGGACAATGAATTTGTTACCTAGTTCTCCAAATAAGAAGCACAAAGTGAGTGCAGGCAAGCATACGTGGAGCAAGACTGAAGAGTCACAGGACATCAACAGAAAACAGTTGAAAGCCGCAAGGAAACAACGGCGGCGTTCTAGTTACCGCTCCTTAGAGCGGACGAACGAACGAACCCCCAGCGGCATGGTCCGAAGCTGCACTCTGCTGACAGCAGGGCACCACTGACCCTCAGAGCACTGAGTCAAACCACATTCAGACTGCTCAGACCGGTTAAGACAAGAAGAGTAAAGGCTGACTTACAAAAGATCAGACTTTCTTGTGCCAGTTCTTAAAATGGATCCCTTAGAATGCCCTAAGCTATGCATATGATGAATATTCCCTGTAGCATGCTAGTAGACCACTTACATAGTCATCCTAAGATTTCTGGCTAATTATATGCAAAAATCAGAAACACACACATTTGCAATAGATAACAATCTGAAAGCCTGAACCCACCCCCACAGTTCCCCTCAACAACAACAACAACAAAAAAAAAAAAAAAATATATATATATATATAATATATATAATCAGTAACAGAAAAAGAAAATGTAAGAAAAGGTGAGACTAATTTCACATTTTATTCTGGAGATTGAAATACTTTGACCACCCCCTACTCCTGGAGACAATGTCTTACAATGTATCCCAGGTTGGCCTCAAACTTGTGACCGACCCTCTGCCTCGGCCTCCTGGGTGCTGTGATTACAGGTGTGCATCACCATGCCAGAGTAAAGATGTTTACAATTCTGTAAAGACTACTAAAAAAGATAATGTGGGCCAGCGAGATGGCTCAGTGGGTAAGGTGCCTGCTGCCAAGCCTGACGATGACCTGTTCTATCCCACGGAACTACATGGTAGAAAGAGAGCTCCAGAGTTGTTTTGACTTCCATTTGACGGCTGTGATAAGCACATGTGACACATATACAAAATAATAAATGTAATTTTAAAACTTTTTGAAGAGAATAAATTCATGGTATAGTTCAAGCTTAAAGAAAGACATTAGGGTTGGAATGATGGCTCAGAAGATAAAATGTCTGCTGCTGTTTCATCCTGGAGTATACAGAATGGCAGAAATAGCAAGACAGACCCTGTCTCGGCAAGGTATGAGGGAGCTGACCCCTGACACTTGTCCTCCAACTTCCACAAAATGCATCTGCTTTCTCCTCTCACCACACCCTACACACACACACACACACACACACACACACACTATTAAAATAAAAACTGTTTGAAGCATCCAGGAGTTTAAATGTCTCACGAAATCTTAAAAGATGACAGTAGTCTCCTCTTCAACTAAGGGAAGGAGAGTGATGAGGAGAGAAGCACGCAGACATTCCAAACCTGTTCAACCCTGTTTTACTGAAGAGATGAAGAGAACATCTTAGCACACTACCATCTCACTCTGCTATACGCCATTCAAACAGACTATATGCTACTGAGGCATTTAGGAAATAAAGCCTGTGCGCTGGAGAAAGATTCTAATCCTCTCCCGCCCCACAAACAAACAGAAGTATTGTCACACTGTCTGAATTCATGACTGTATCTTGTAAGTTCTTTGATTTTGACCTTTTTTTTACCCATCTCATTTCCATAGCAGGGTTCTATAAACCAGAGACTTAAGATTCTCTCCATTTATTCCTTCAAAAAATCTTAAAATTAGCCTTTGTACTTTTCATGTTTTGATGAATTACACATTTTAAAAGACACTAAACTGAGAGAAAAAGCAAGATGATGCAAATCCCTGAGTTTGCCACTGTATGAATCCTCCTCTAACCAAATTCTGTTGCTTAGACTTTAACACTGGGAAATTGGTTTGAAAACTAAGCCATGAATCTATGAATCAAACAACAAACTGAATGTTAGAGGAGGGAATATATTTATAATTATGTATGTGTGTGTAGACATTATTCCTTAGGATGGCCATCAACCTTGTTGGGTTTTTTTGTTGTTGTTGTTTGGTTGTTTTTTGAGATAGTCTCTTACTGGGACCTGGAGCTCAGCAATCAGAACAGGCTGGGTGGCCAGGGAACTTTGCAACTTCTGCCTCATCCTCTTCAGTGTAGTGCTGCAACATCAGGTGTACAACAGCAAGCCCAGTATTTACATGTGTTCTAGGACTAACTCAGGTCGTCTTCAGATTTGTATGGTGAGCACTGTACAGACTGCATTGTCTCCCAGCCTGCTTTATTTTGAGACAGTCTCACTATGTGGTCAAGCTAGAATCAAACTTCTAATTCCTCATCTCTGACTCTCCAGTACAAGGATTATTGGCATCAGCCACCAAATATGGCTAAAAATATTTTTTGAAAACATTATAAAATCCTACCTTAAAGAGTTTCTGATAATAGGGCCTAACTAAGGCCCAAATGCAAGTTAAGATACCCATAAAAAGAGTGACCACACTTCTCAACACAAAAGGAAATAGTCAATGCAAAGGCTTAAGAAATATTCCTGCTGCCTTGAGACAACAACCAGGCTCACATTCTCACTTCAACAGTCCTTCGTTAGGGACAGGCAGAAAAAAAAAAATTCCCCACCACCATCAAAGACCTTCCTTCCACTTGGCTCCCAGCATTCTACTCCCCTACCCCTGCTGGAAGAACCAGGGAATGCAGTACAGGAAAGACAGCACCAGCCCAAGTGCCACTGTAAGTGGCATCCAGTCAGCACAATACATGGCTGTAGGATTTCAAGTGTTTTTGTAGAGAATATTAGTACTGTGAAAGACAAATCCATTGGTGTTTATTAGTGCCAGGTTTAAAGTATGTTTAGCTGTTTAGGCAGCTTTATTAAGACGCATTTAAAGAAAGGAAGAAAAACTGTAGTATAAAATATAGTATATAATAAAACTACCTAGGGAAACTAATGTAGAACTTTATTCTTTACTTAACAATTCTCTAATAAAGGCACTGGATTTTAAGACCAAAAAACTGACGCACAGGGAAGCAAGGTAAGAAAGCATGGAAACAAAGTTCATGAGACTAGAGTTCTCATTCAAATCTGCTGCCAGCTGTGAAACTCTGTACCATGACTTAAATGTCTCAGAGTGACAATGGAGAATTTAGGTACTGCCAAGATGAAGCTAAGACCTGCATTTTTAAACCTAGGATTTGGTTTATCTTCCGAATTATAAGACAGGTAGGTACTATGAGAGCTGGAGATATACGGATAGGAAGCTGACTACAAAAGATCACATACAGTGCACACACAATATATATACCACATACATACATACATACATACAGAATTTGGAAATAATAAATGCACACGCCCTTAATCCCAGCGCTTGGGAGGCAGAGCCAGGTGGATCTCTGAGTTTGAGGCCAGCCTGGGCTACAGAGTGAGATCCAGGACAGGCACCAAAACTACACAGAGAAACCCTGTCTCGAAATCGCCCCCTCAAAAAAAAAAAAAAAAAAAAAAAAAAAAAAAAAAACAGCTAACAAAGCTACACTATGTGGTTTTCTTCTCTTTATATTAATAAGGAAACAAAGCATTTGAAAAGAAGAATCAGGCAACCTGTACTGGTATCTTTAAAGACCCTTCTTTCTGGGTGTGCACACAGACAGCCACAGCAAACCAAGTAGGGGTCTGACTAGGGCCTGGCTCTCCACCATGGGTGCCATCAGGCACCTTTGCCCACGGAGTCATCCCCAGCCCTATACTGACATTCCAAAGGTCAAGAAAATGTATTTTTACTGAATGCAGTCTTTATTTCTACACTGTCCTCCCCAGCCCTGAGGACTGAAGCACCAGTCTTTTACGTGCTAAAATAACTACTCTAGTAGATAACCATCCCCCCAAGAACCACCTCCACCCACCCACTCCAAACACACTCTGTTACTTTCTTTTTAGTTTGAGACAATCTGCTCAGGCTGTTCTTGAACTCTAGGTTGCTGTGGAATAATGTTTTTGTACACTGGTTTAATAAACGCTGATTGGCCAGTAGCCAGGCAGGAAGTATAGGCGGGATAAACTGACAAGGAAAATTCTGGGAAGAGGAAGGCTGAGTGAGGAGACTCCAACCTGCCGTCCAGGGAGCAGCATGTAATGGCACACAGGTAAAGCCACGGAACACATAGCAACATATAGATTAACAGAAATGGGCTGAGTTTAAGCATAAGAACTAGTCAGTGGTAGGCCTCAGCTAATGGCCAAACCATTTTAATTAATATAAGCCTCTGTGTGTTTACTTGGGTCTGAGCAGCTGTGGACTGGATGGGACACAGGAAAGCTTCAGCTACACTAGGTAGCCCAGGTAAGTCTCGAACTTATACCCTTCCTGCCCAGGGTCCCAAGCGTCTGAGGTTATAAGCATGTATAGCTCATGTCTATTCTTAGTAGTTTGTCGAAATAGGAAGAGCTGCTCAGGAAGACAGAGGAGTTAGTGAGTTACAAAAGATTTCACAGGATGAAAAAGATCCAACAGTGAGTGTGTTCACCACTATGCAACAAAGGTATGTCCTATAGGGGAAATGAATTAAATTACTAACTAAAAGCTTCTTGTCTATACCGACAAATTGGAATCATGCTGATTCTGCATAGGGTTAAAACAAAATGCTTTCTTTGGTTTGGTGATGTTGGGGAAAGAGGTAATAGGGAAGAATATGCCTCCAGTGATTATGGAGAGAAGCAGAAAGGAGACCATCAGTACAGTATGTATCAGAAGAAGAAAGGTGCTGGCACACAGCAGGCATTCGGTGTTACTATTAATGTGTACTATGGATTGAGGACTCTCACACATCTTTCCAAGTTCTAGACTAACTGGTTATTTTGCTGGGAAAGTTTACCACCCTGAGCACTCAATAATGTTTCTCTCCTCATGAGGTCCTGTCCCTCCCTGAGCATCTGTAACAGTTAAAGGTTGTCATGTAAAGGAGAGACTTCCCTATAAATAAGCTCTTACCACTCAAGATCCCAAAGCAAACCTAATGAAAATTCATTGGGAGACGCGCACACACGCAGGTGCACGCACACACACACACACACAATCACCAATCATCAAAGTGTAAGATTGGTTGGAAACAGGAAGAGGCTCAACGGGAGTGGGGGTGGGGTGGGACACAAGAGGGTAATGGAAGTTGAATATGATTAAAATACATTAAATCCATGTATGAAAATGTTATGAAACTCATTATATATAGTTAATATATACTAATAGAAACCATTTATTTTAAAGTTCACCAAATGCTTCTCTCCAAAAAGTCCAAGCAGCCTGAGACACAAAACAAAGAGCATTGTAAAAAGAAAGGACTAAGGGAGGAGGGAAAATTTCCATGAGAGAGTTTGGGCTTGCCCATCTATTTTTTTTTTTTCTTCTTAATGTTAAGACTCAGACAATGTATACTCACACCCTGTCAAGAAACTTTTCAAATAAACCACTATAATTAAGAAAATGTAAACCTAAATTGAATGTGTCAGAAAACATTTTACTTTTTCCTAGTTATATATGGTAAGCATTTAAAATTGAACGTTTTTTCCTATTCCTTGGAATCCATTTCCTCAGAGGCTCTCCTATATGCCATGCATTCAAACAGAGGACAAAATACACACATACACACACCCTAAGTAAAATCACAGGGATAATTGGACAGGAAACAACTCTAGAGAGGAAAAACAAGGCTAGTGTTCAGAAAAAAAGATCCTTGAACTAAGAGGCAATGTTAACCCGTCTGGAGGTTTCCGAGCAGAGAATGCCATGCCAAGGGGAAGTCAACTCGGTGTTGACCGTTAAAGGCCATGAAAGTAGTTTTAACTTGACTGCAACACAAACCTCAATCTCACGAAGCTTAGCCCGCTTCTCTTCACTCATTTCCGAGTACTTGGAGAACTTAGACTCGGTCATCTCTTCTCTGACTGGGTTAGAGTATAAATGATGTTCTTCCGACTTGGAACTCTGAGTGTCCTCTTCATCTTCACTGTCTTCCTCTTGACTGTGGAAATAGAGAACATACTGCATGTCACAATAGGAAAACAAAATACTCTATTTTACAGTTTGCGTATTTGTTTCTCACTGTCTTGGAACTTAAATGATACTGAAGAACATCTAAAACATTTTCTGTAAATATTTGGTCAAATAATATTTTAGACTGTTCTGAAAAACATTTCCTTCTACCGAAAAAGTTGAGTTTCAATATAATAATATAATCATGCTTTTAATAAATTCTGTGTTAATGTTATCAGTGTGCTTTTTATTCTGTAACACTGTCAAGCAAGGAAATAAAATGAATAGCCAATGCATGCTACATATTACTCAGTTCAGTGAACTCATAAAGGTTTGGGTTTTTTTGGGTTTTTGGTTGGTTGGTTGGTTGGTTGGTTGGTTGGTTGGTTGGTTTTTCCAGACAGGGTTTCTCTGTGCAGCTTTGCACCTTTTCTGGATCTCGCTCTGTAGACCAGGCTGGCCTCGAACTCACAGAGATCCGCCTGACTCTGCCTCCTGAGTACTGGGATTAAAGGCATGCGCCATCACCGCCCGGCCATTAAAGGTTTGTTTTTAAAAAGCCGAATGTTTACCTTCCTTCCACAAAGGCTATACTCTGGAAAATAAATGAATTTGTCACACTCACCATACAACAATCAATTCAAAACATAAGGACCTCAACTGATTAGCACATTAACTAAAGTACCATATAAAGCTTGAGTATTAGAAAACTTGAACTATTATGTTAGAGCTGATCCTGAAAGATAGCTCTTCATTCAGTTCTTGTTTTATATACGTTTATTGTTGGAGCCCACTAGGTTTCCTAGTGGCTGTACCCAGCAGGACTGCATAAGCGGTTGATTAGACCACAGGCCTGAGTATCAGGTGTTTGTAAAGGTCAACACTTGGCTGTACCTAGCTAGGGGGAGGTCCTTTGCCCCGCCCCTTGGGATTATTATAAATAGCCCTTTGGAATAAAGCTCTTGACTGGTGGATAAGGATCCAGACCCACCTAAGGCTATCCTGCGTCTCTCTCCCCTCTTTATTTCCAACAAAGTCTCTTATTCCTCATTCCTCAAGAGTCCCTGGGGTAAATAAATGTGGGGATTGGTCTCCCACAGTTTATGAAGTCTGTACTTCCTTTTGTTTTAGTTTTATTTTATGTGTATGAGTATTTTGCCTGAATGCATGTATGTGTACCATGTACATGCCCTGTTGCCCATGAACATCAGGAGAGGGTTTTGGAGCCCCTGGAACTGAGTTAAGGATATGTGTGAACCTCAATGCAGGTACTAGGAATCAAATCAAGGTCCTCTTCAAAAGCAACAAGTGCTAGTAACCTCTGAGCCACAGCTTCCTGCTATAATTTTATGAAAAATGGAATTTCAGCCGGGCGGTGGTGGCGCACGCCTTTAATCACAGCACTCGGGAGGCAGAGCCAGGCAGATCTCTGTGAGTTCAAGGCTAGCCTTGGCTACCAAGTGAGTTCCAGGAAAGGCGCAAAGCTACACAGAGAAACCCTGTCTCGAAAAACCAAAAAAAGGAATTTCAAAATTCTAAATCTGTAACAAACTCATTACAAATGCTATTGTTTTTAGCGTTTCTTTCCATCTGTTACAAGTATTAACTTTAAATTCCATCTCTACTGAAAATGCAACAGTTTATCATATGAAGCAGCCCTCAGCCAAAAGGCATTTCTGATCCAGCCACTAGAGAGCAGTAGTGGGCTGTAAAAAATTCTGAAGGACCAGAAAGCTATGTGCAAATTAGTGTTTCTTGCACTGCAGTTTCATAAACTACATTTTTATACTAACATGATTTACTCGGAGGCTTAAGAAAAATTAAAAATATGAATTCTACTTCTGACTCATGCTTCTACCAATGATTACTTCCACATCAATATTAAAACACTCTCATACAGTAACACAAAAATCAATTTTATACCCAAAACCCCCTAATGCTTTCAGAAAATGAACCTAATTACGTATCTGGAGTTATCTGATGAACTTTCTACCCTTCAGTGTAAATTAAAGAATTATTTGACCAGTACAGTACATGTTTACGCTAACATTTTGAGATGTTGCTAATGACAGAGTCACCGACATAAAACGTCAATGAAAACAGTTTCAAAGCATTCAACTCTAGTACTCTGCAGTTGCAGAGAGCCACCGCCATTGATAAGCCACACTTTGACTTTCTAAGTATCTCACCACTACCAACTTGTTTCAGTCACACCAAGATCACTGTCGGTTTCCTCAGGCCATCCAACTGTCGACCAACTACTGCCTGAGCACACTGCCTTGCGACCCATCGGCCCCTTGACCAAGTGCACACAAATGTGCTGGGCCAGCAAAAGGGCTTGCCCGTTTTCCTTCTTCCATCTGAGGATGAAAGACTATAGTTTTTACAAAACAAAAAGCTCTCCCTAGAATAATCTTGACACCAATATTCACGCAATGACTTTAAAAAGTATGAAGCGTCCTAAAACTTATCAATACAAACTTTAAGTTCTTACCACCATTATGCCAAAGGCAAAAATACTTCTATGGTGATTACAAAAAAGAAAACTATCAAAATCATAATTTCTTTATACTCACAAAGGTCCTCCCCCTTCATTCTTAGTTCTTCTGACATGTTTAAACATTTAAACATTTAAAATAATAAAATAGTACTTAGCAATGCACTATCCAAAAGGAAAGGAATATAATTTTCCCACTTAACATTTTAAAAATCACTTTTTTGTGGCTCTAAAACAATATTTGATGACAAAAATTTAAAACAAATACAACTACTGCATTAGTAGCTACAAGGCAGAAATGTATAGCCTCAGGAAGAAAACTCAACAAGGTGAAGCCTGGTGCAAAGACCAGAGAGCAAAGCTCTTCATTCACTGGAAAAAAACGATGCAAGCTAAAGATGATTCTCTCCCAAGGATTTGAAGGTGAAGTTTTCCTCTTCACTATTATTTCAACCATACCTGTCGGTGAAAAAGGGAGTATACATGTGCAGGGAACTGGGTATATGTGAAACTTAAGATTCTTACTTTTGGTTTTCTTCCTCTTCTGATTCATCGTGCTGGTCAAATAGCTCCCACTTAGAAGTTGTTACAGCTGCAGGGGAAAAGGGAGGTTAGCATTTTTTTGCTACAGCACAGTAGAAGCCCAGCTTTAGATCTGAAAGTTTATATTACAGAAACTAATCTTAAGCTTATCTCTTCTTCATGTACTATACACTACACGTTCTTGTCTCATACCTACATGATATCTATGCAAACTCAGAAATGATTAAAAAACACTCATATTTATTTCTATGGTGAATGGCAAGATTTATTTGATCAGACCAACAAATATTAACAGATACCAAGTAAGAGTAAAGAGAAAGGCAAATGTAAACTGGATCTAATAAACATTATAGGAGGTCAAAGCTCAGTTTCTCTGAAACTGACCCCTAAGTAGCTTTCCAAATGGATGCTGCTTCCCAACTAGACTCTATTGAAACACCTTAGCCTGAAAGGTTTTCATGATTTCTGACTGTACTCTCAAAGCTTCCAAACGGAAGGATCTAAAACAATTACTATAGGAACACCAACAATCAATGGATGATTATGATAGACCTAAAACATGGCAGCATTGAGTGTGAAAGCTGAAAACAAAGACTTTACACAAAAAGAAAACATACACATGCAAATACAAAGGCACCAATAATTATTATAAGAACTTAATTTTCCACTCACTAATTGCTGGGGATTCAACCCAGTGCCATACATATGCTAAGCAAGTACTACACCACTGAATGATACCACTATCCCAGTACACAACTGTTTAAAAGCTCAATATTTGTAATTTACTCACCTTGTGCTTCCAATTCAGATTCATCTACAGCCTCCCATTTTGACGGGGCTACTTTAAATATGGGTTCATTCTTCTTTGAGTCTTCAGTTGCATCCACTATTGAAGAAAAGATGAGCTATTAAATATATTAGGGGATGACTCAAACTAATGGCCTTACCAAAAATCTAGTAGAAGTAAGTCCACATGTAGAGAAAACATTGACAGTATCAAGAACAAGGATTATAATGAACTCACTTCAGACCCAATTTCTAAGCAGTGCAAAGTAAGCCCCTTTCCCATAGCAGACATATCCCAAGACCTCTAGTAAATGTCTGAGAAACAGCTCTGAACTATACATTGACTATGTTTTCTTGTCCACACATAATTATAAATTAGGCACAGTAAAAATGTAATAAAAACAATCATGAAAGAGAATAACTGTTAGAATGTACTATGATACCTAAAACTTGTCAATTTTTTGGAACTTTCCATTTAATATTTGCAGACTGAAGTTGGCAGTGGGTGACTTGAAGCATGAACAGGAAGACAGAAAATGGGCATAAAGAAACTACTACCCAGAAAATTCAGGTAACACTTTAAACATATGGAGCTGAGAGGGAGATAAACAAACAAACAAATAAATGTTTTCGGGGCTGCAAAGTTTATACTTTATGCAATGGTTTAATATAATTTTAGGCCAGAGAACAGATGACACAGGGCATCTGACATTATGGCTATAAACAAACACAAGATATTGCCGATAGTTTTCAGACAACTGACACAAAAAGGAAATCTGCTACTACTACAGGAGAGTAGCAGTCCAAAAGAGAAAGATGACCATAAGAGAGCCCTTTCCTTTTAAAATTTTAAAATATCAGAAAAGGTGAGAAACTTGACATAGTCAAAAATTAAAACATTTCTCCACATTTCTCCAGAACATCATGTGAGAAAATAAAGCATTTTGGCAATCAAACCTGTTAGCTTTAATGTTTGAAATCTGAACTTACAAGGCACTCCATCCAGATCATCATCAAGACTTTTTATAGGGACTCCATCGAGATCATCAATGGGAGTGGCGTCAATGGGAATTCCATCCACATCTTCCAGAGGTGCACCATCAAGCTCTTCCTCAATGGGAGCACCATCAAGATCATCTGGCACATCCTACAGAAACATGCACTACTGTAGTATTTTCTCGACTTCTTAAATCTCTCACTATTAGATTAATGCGGCTGGAGATCCGTATTTCCAGACACAATGTAAACACATGCTTTATCATCCAGCCTGCCAAGGCAGCAATTATCTATACATTTATTTACCTAACATGTGCTAGGTGCTGATTATTGGGGCCAGCTAGCCTGTGACCCAAGGATGAACAAAATCAGGCTTGGTTCTTCTGTCAAAGAACTCAGTAAAGGTTTTTGTTGTTTAAAAAAGAAATCTATCAGAACAATAAATTAAAAGGGTACATTAAAAGGGTACTTATTATACTACTGAATAATTAAATTTTGTATAAAGACGTCGTAAGGTAGCCTGAAGTTACTCTTGGTGACACACAAGGTCCAGACAGAAGAACATGTACAAAGAGCAGTGGCAGGAGAACACTGTACACTGAAGACACTGGAACAAGTTTAAGAAAGTGGCAGAAGAGTAGCTGTCTCCCCATCAATAATAGGTAAAGGAGGGTCAGGAAAATCCACAGAGGTGAAAACATTCTGGAGAAGAACAGAAGCAAATACATGTCTAGCTTCCAAAAGCAATTTACCTCAACCTCACCAAAGAGTATTGGAGACTAAGCCCTCCAAAAGAGGCCTGCTCAGTAAGACTCCCTACTACAAGGACCCGAAAGGACAGTCACACCTACATGCATAGGCTACAACACAGCAACATGAAAAAGGTAAAAGTCAAGGGCCTCCCAAAGATCCTAAGTTCTCCACTAGGAAACTCAGATATTGATATAAGTTAAAAGTCAGAAGACAAGGTTTTCTTGTAAACATAACAATACAAACCAGGCCGTAAATGAGAGCAATAGAGAGGAAAATTGTTAAGAAAGTTAACAATCTGGATTAAAAAAGTTAGAAATGCAAGCCTCAATGAATCAAATAAAACTGATAGCAGTGAGTCATCAGGATGATATGGCAAGTGAAACACTTACTTGCACATAAGCTTCACAATCTGAGTTCAACCCGTGGACTAAACTAAGTAAGGTGAGCGAGAGAGACTGACAAACGTTCAGACTGTCCTCTACACTCTCCTCATGAGCTGTGTCAAGTACATGCCCCCATGCCTGCTCACATTATAAAGTTAAATAGTTTTAAAAAGGGGTTAGTTTTTTTGCTTTAGGTTTTTTTTTTTTAATTTAGTTGTCTGTGTGTGTTTATAGGGGCAGACTGGGGAGCTGGCTCAATGGTGAAGAACACTTGCTCTTGGAAAGAAAATCTAAGTTCAATTCTCAGCACCCGCATGGTGGCTCCTAAACATCACTAACTTCAGTTCCAGGGGATCTGATCCTTTTGTCTGATCTCTGTGGGCACCAAGCATACATGTGGTACACATGTGCATATGCAGGCAAAACACCCATATACATAAAATAAATCTAAAGCAAAACAAAACAGTAGGAAGCATCACCAATAGACTCTACAAAGCAGAACAAAGAATATCAGGTATAGAGGACAACGTGGATGAAATATTGCACTCAAATATCAGTAAGAATAACAAAGGAATCAATGACCAAGACCACAAACATCTAAGAACTCTAGGATATGGCCAAGAGCCCAAACCTAACCATCCCCAAGATACAGTACAAGTTGAGATAAGCACTAAAAGCACAGTGAATTAATGAATCAATGACATTTAGGAGTGGAAAATTTCATAAATCCAGATTTTTAAACATACAAGGCACTAGGACCCCAACAGATATGACCAGATAAACCTCTCTGTGGTACACATGGTCAAGACATTAAAATACAAAGCAAAGCAGCAACAGTAAAAGGTGTAAAGGAAAAATGTTAACTCGCCCACAAAGGCAGAAGCATCAGAGTAATAAATCTCTCAGCAACCCCAAAGCAGGAGAGCAATGAATGATACAAATCAAGCCCTGAAAGTCAATAACTGCCAACCAAAAGTGCTATAGCCAGCAAATCTGTCTTATTTTAAATACTGAGAAATAGAACATTTCAAGACAAGCATAAACTAAGGCAGTTCACAAGCACCAAGCCATACTGCAAAAGATATTTAAATACTATATACAAGAAGAGGAAGACAGTCTCAATCACAAGAGCCAGGAATGAAAAAAATTTCAGGACAGGACTATCTAAACAAAGAAAAAATAGGAAAGAATCCATCATATCCAACCTCATAAACCAGCAAACTCTGATCCTAAGAGGGGAGAAACCCAAGAACAAACAGGAAAACAAACAAACAAACAATGAACAATTAGGATTATAACAATTAGGAAACCATTCTCAATAATAACCTTAAACATGAATAGCCTCAATTCACCAACAAAGAGATTCATGCATTACTACCAAAAATGAAGATGAAAGATACACAAACCATTTAGGAGGGAAAAAGCAAGAGAATGATGATGAACACAATTCGGTACCATCATGCTACATCTTCCAAGTCTATGTTTACTTTTGAGCTAACTTTAACATAATCGAAGTTTTTATACAGAAACAATCCCCAACTCTTGATGGTTTGACTTTTTGAAAATTTGCAATGGTGCAACATAATACACACTTAGTAATAACTTCAATTATGATCTTTTCTTCAGATAGCGACATACAGTGTGGTGTTTCCATGATGCTGGGCAGTGGCACTTAGTTATGGGCACCAGTCAACCATCTGATCACGTGGACAAATACTATCTATCTACAGTGTTTCGTTGCCATCATTTTTGATGGCAGCTTTGCAATAAGTTAACTGAGATACTCAATACTTTCTTTAAAACTAGGTTTCCTGTTGGATCATTTTTGCCTAGCTATAGGTTAATTGCTTGAGATATTCAAGGTAGGCTAGGCTAAGCTCTCAGATTCATTCATATAGATACAAGTATTCAATGTATCTTCAACTTAATGATAATTTATTTACAGTAAGTTTATGAAGAACTCCTTGTTGAGGGACTTCTGTGTATTATGTTTTCTACTAATATATCATAAATCTTTTCATGTTATTAAAAGAAAGAAAAAGAAAAAAACATAAACAGCCACTATCAAATAAGAAGACAACAATGAAAATCCCTGACATATCTAACATTGACTCCTGGGTTATTTAATGGTAAACAGAGGCACTTCTCACAAAGAAATTATTTATATTTATAATTATTTATATATATATATACTTGTAACATCCCTCTCCTCAGACCAATTTTTAAGTACAGAATACCTACCTCTGTTTCCTTTTCTTCAATGATATTTACAAGTCCTAAGAAAATATTTTGAAGTTTGATCAGAAATGGTTCTGGATAGATTGCCCAGTCTTCCCATGCTCTGAAGCAGGTCATTACCCGTTGCTAAATAAATAGAAAATAGGAAGTGAATGACTAGTTGAGGCAGTATGTCTTAAACTTCAGTTCATGAGGATAACAACTGTGATTTGCTGAATTTTCCTTTAAGTTGCTAGATCTTTTTTTTTTCCCAAATTAAAGAGAATATATATGTCATTTCCAAATTTTTTAAAGCAATGTTATCTTCCAAGTAAAAAGAATAAAGCCCTAAAAATACAGGGGGTGGGAGGGTGGGGGGAGGAAGACCACTTGTTTTTTAATTAAGGTCAACTCTCATGTTGTCCATAATGTATGTGAGCCACATTCTGAAAAACAACCTCACAGTACCTTCTGACCACTAGAAACCAAAGCAATCAAGCTTTACCCTGAATCAATTATGACCCAATGAAGTCTTGGCAAACAACTTTCCTTTGCACATTTCCTATACTTTTCTATAAAGTATAACTTACAATCAAAACTTATGACTAAAAAAAATTTTAATGGATTTGTTTGAATATTGTAGTGATTTAAATAAGCATGGCCCCCATAAGACTCATGTGTTTGAATGCTTGGCACACAGGGAGTGGCGCTATTAGGAAGTGTGGCTTTGTTGGAGAAAGCATGTTACTGTGAGATCGTCTATGCTCAAGCTACACCCAGTGTGGCACACAGTCTCCTTCAGCTGCCTATAGATCCAGATATAGAACTCTCAGCTCCTTCTCCAGCACCAAGTCTGCCTGCATGTCACCATGCTTCCAGTCATGACAATAATGAACTAAACCTCTGAAACTATAAGCCAGCACCAATTAAATACTTTCCTTTATAAGAGCTGCTGTGGTCAGGGTGTCTCTTCACAGAAATAAAACCCTAACTAAGACAAATATCTATATAATGGGGTCATGGGACAGCTTCCCAAGCTAAAGAAATTTCTCAACAAAGTCTTCTTCCCGCAACAGTATATTCACTTATTCAATTACTATCTCAGGAACAGGGGAGATTGACTGGCTTTTTCTTAACATTAGCCTACAGCTTAATGTTATTGGTTTTTTTTTTGGTTTTTTCTTTTTTTTTTTTTTTCTTTTTTTTTTTGGTTTTTTGAGACAGGCCGAGTAACTGTTTCCTGCAACATGTGAAG